CATGAGTGTAATACAGAGTTAAGAGCGTTCTGCGTGTTAGCATACTCAGTGGTGTGTATCATTATATCATCAGCATAGCTAATAATGTGGACGTTGGGTTCGCTGGGTACAGAGTTTAACAGAGTGTTTATACTCTGCACCGGGCAAACCCAACGTCCACATCATTAGCTATGCTGATGATATAATCATGTGTAGTGTAGATGAAACTTTTAAATGAAAGCAAATTAGATTATTTTGGTTTGTGTTGGCGTAACAGCTGTGTGTGTGTGTGTGTGTGTGTGTGTGTGTGTGTGTGTGTGTGTGTGTGTGTGTGTGTGTGTGCTGTGGGAGTGTTGGGACAGAATTCACATTATTTTGAATATAAAACATAATAGCATCAAAAATAACAAACATTTTATTTATTACAAATTACTTCAAGTAACAAATAAGGTAAATAATACACACAGAGCATTGATAATGATTGGTTTAGTTGGGGGTCCTGAGCCGAGGTTGATCATGCCGTTTTATTTACCTGAATAAACATTTTAATTTTAATGCTTATGCAACCATGGCTGAGTAGGCTCTGGTGGCCGGCATGGCCCCCTTCACACTTTACAGGACCCGCTCACTATACAGGGGTCCTGTATAGTGGAGTATTACTATACAAGGACATAATGGAGTATAATACAAGGGAGTATTCGGGTTCCCTCTTGGAAAAGTTTCGCTTCCAACTTCATTTACTGAGGCTTTTTCCTTACATTTCTAATGATAAGTAATTTTCCTACTTTCGATCCCACAATAGAAGCCTGAATACTATTTACCCTCACCTCTGGCTGTATCTGTATTTGTTTCCTGGCTTTATCATGATTATCCCTTGTATTATTGTTTAGCTACTCCAACGCCACCTTAACCACTTCCTCTCCTTATTACTTTCTTCTAACTCAGCCTTTACTACTCATTCTCATATAAAGAACGTAAGAAAGTGAGTGAGAGTGAGAGAGAGAGAGAAAGAGAGAGAGAGAGAGTGAGAGTATGCAAATGCAGAGCCCCAGAGAGCAGCAGGGATTCCCAGGAAAACAATACTGGAATAGAACCCTTGACTGTTAGAGAATCTGAGGTGTACAAAGCAGCCATGTCTTTCCCAACAGGTTCAGCAGGGGGCTTTACAGGCCTTAGACCCCAGCATGTCAAAAAAATGCTGAACCCGGTGCTTGGAGATGCTGCAAAGGACCTTCTAGTGAGAGACCCTACATCTGCATTGCTCAGAGACAAATTATTTAGTGCTGTTAACACCATACTGACTGGTGCCAACATACCAACTCGCTTTTTTATGACAAATGGCTGATCAAAAATGCCTACAATCTCATCAAACTCAACATTCATTTTAAGTGCAATATACATGGCTTCGATATTCCTCTTTATCTATGCTCCACCATTCAAGTATCATACACACCTGTCACCAAGAAAGATAATGAGAATCTTGCTCTTCTCAAAGCTGTCACACTTGAAACAATTGTCTCCTCCATCGAAAATTTAAGATCTCACGAGCACTGTGTCTACACCGACATCAGTCGGTGTAGACCATTCAGTTATTAGACCATTCAGACCCGTTGGCATGAGGTACCTGGAGCTTTGTAATTACTTTATTCACTCTCGTATTCTTGAAAACATCCTCATACTGCACCCAGAGTTTGCCAGTGCAGGCTATTAATCACATGCCTTTGTATGACTAATCATCCTGTGTGATGGGGATTTTTAGCATCAAATAGCTAGTTTCGTAACACACTGTACTCCCCTTCATATAGTCAAGGGCAGCTGCTCAAATGCAGATGTACCTAAATGTGTTTTTTTTATTTAGTTTATCATAAAAATTTTCAGAGAGCGAGAGAGAGAGAGAGGTGGAAGAATAGGGAAAGAGGGTGGAGAGATCAGAAGGGGAAGAGGGTAGGGCAGAAGGGGGAGATGGGTGAGAGGTGAAAAGAATTATGTCAGAGGGGAAAATATTGAGGGAGGGGGAAGAAAGGTGGAGAATGTGGGAGAGGGAAAGATTTGGAGAGAGGGTAGAGAGTGGAGAAGAGGAGATGGGTGAGAAGGAAAGAGGGAGTAATATTGGGGAGAAAGATTGAGAAGAGTACGGGGGGGGGGGGATAGGGAAAGAGAGCTGAAAGAGGGAGGAGATTTAGAGAGAACTTTTCGTAACTACAGCGTCGAAAATATCAACACGTAGTAGTGGAGCCCCAGTAACCCACTTCCTGTGCTATTTGTTATATATAGAATTCGGAAAAAATAGAGCTAGAAAACCAAACTTAAATACTCCTAGGCCCAGTATAGCACATATATGTACTATACGAAGCCTAGTATGGTTAGTTTAGTTCTTATTAGCAACATAAATGTAAAAAAAAACATTACCACTTTGGCCAAATTCAATAACACCAAAGGCCAACATTATGGTGGTGCGTCACTACATATTGGTACTTTCCAACCAAACAGTTGATATTAGTACTTTCCTTTTAGGAGGATGGGCTGATATATATTATTTCAATATTATTTATTACCAATTATTATTTAGCTGTTAAGGCCGTACATATTGATTATCGTAATTTAATGTTCCTGACGACTGTCTCGGGTGTAATTCATTGCATATAAACATCAGTCAAGGAACAAAAGGTGACTAGTCAGTGAAAAGCTCCGGCACTGAACAGCCTTTCAAAACGTTTTTGTGTTTTTAATTGCACACTCCAGCCGTTTTAATTTCAATTACTGAGCAGCCTTGAGTGGAATGATTGATTGCTTGTTAAGCTCGGACCAAGAAGAATGGACTGGACAGGATAGAATGATTTTGTGAGTCTCCTTTATGACCCGAGAAGAAAGGGGGTGGGGGGTTAAGAAGCATGGTGTAGTGTAGTGTGGTGTAGTGTGATGTAGTGTAGTGTTGTGTTGTGTTGTGTTGTGTGGTGTGGTGTGGTGTGGTGTGGTGTAGTGTAGTGTAGTGTTGTTTTGTGTTGTGTAATGTAGTGTGGTGTGGTGTGGTGTGGTGTGGTGTGGTGTGGTGTGGTGTAGTGTAGTGTAGTGTAGTGTTGTTTTGTGTTGTGTAATGTAGTGTGGTGTGGTGTGGTGTGGTGTGGTGTAGTGTGGTGTGGTGTTGTTTTGTGTTGTATTGTGTTGTGTGGTGTGGTGTGGTGTAGTGTGGTGTAGAGTGGTGTGTTGTGTTGTATTGTGTGGTGTTGTGTGGTGTGGTGTGGTGTAGTGTAGTGTAGTGTAGTGTAGTGTAGTGTTGTTTTGTGTTGTGTAATGTAGTGTGGTGTGGTGTGGTGTGGTGTGGTGTGGTGTAGTGTGGTGTGGTGTTGTGTTGTGTTGTATTGTGTTGTGTGGTGTAGTGTGGTGTAGTGTGGTGTAGAGTGGTGTGTTGTGTTGTGTGGTGTAGTGTTGTGTTGTATTGTGTTGTGTTGTGTTGTGTCATGTTGTGTTGTGTTGTGTTGTATTGTGTGGTGTTGTGTGGTGTAGTGTTGTGTTGTGTGGTGTTGTGTGGTGTTGTGTTGTGTTGTGTTGTGTTGTGTGGTGTAGTGTTGTGTTGTGTGGTGTTGTGTGGTGTTGTGTTGTGTTGTGTTGTGTTGTGTGGTGTTGTGTGGTGTAGTGTTGTGTTGTGTTGTGTTGTGTTGTGTTGTGTTGTGTTGTGTTGTGTTGTGTTGTGTGGTGTTGTGTTGTGTGATGTTGTGTTGTGTGGTGTTGTGTTGTGTTGTGTTGTGTTGTGTTGTGTGGTGTTGTGTTGTGTTGTGTGGTGTTGTGTGGTGTGGTGTTGTGTTGTGTGGTGTTGTGTGGTGTTGTGTTGTGTTGTGTTGTGTTGTGTGGTGTTGTGTGTTGTGTTGTGTGGTGTTGTGTGGTGTTGTGTGGTGTTGTGTTGTGTTGTGTTGTGTTGTGTGGTGTTGTGTGGTGTTGTGTGGTGTTGTGTGGTGTTGTGTTGTGTTGTGTTGTGTGGTGTTGTGTTGTGTGGTGTTGTGTTGTGTTGTGTTGTGTGGTGTTGTGTGGTGTTGTGTTGTGTCATGTTGTGTTGTGTTGTGTTGTATTGTGTTGTGTTGTGTTGTGTTGTGTGGTGTTGTGTGGTGTAGTGTTGTGTTGTGTGGTGTTGTGTGGTGTTGTGTTGTGTTGTGTTGTGTTGTATTGTGTGGTGTAGTGTTGTGTTGTGTGGTGTTGTGTGGTGTTGTGTTGTGTTGTGTTGTGTGGTGTTGTGTGGTGTAGTGTTGTGTTGTGTTGTGTTGTGTGGTGTTGTGTGGTGTTGTGTGGTGTTGTGTGGTGTTGTGTTGTGTTGTGTTGTGTGGTGTTGTGTTGTGTTGTGTTGTGTTGTGTTGTGTTGTGTGGTGTTGTGTGGTGTTGTGTGGTGTTGTGTGGTGTTGTGTTGTGTGTGTGTGGTGTTGTGTGGTGTGGTGTAGTGTGATGTGGTATGGTGTGGTGTGGTGTAGTGTAGTGTAGTGTTGTGTGGTGTTGTGTGGTGTTGTGTGGTGTTGTGTGGTGTTGTGTGGTGTTGTGTGGTGTGGTGTAGTGTGATGTGGTATGGTGTGGTGTGGTGTAGTGTGGTGTAATGTAGTGTTGTGTGGTGTGGTGTAGTGTGATGTGGTATGGTGTGGTGTGGTGTAGTGTGGTGTAGTGTAGTATAGTGTGGTTTTGTGTGGTGGGGTGTGTATTTTTTTCAATGTTTCCTTCCCCTTCCCCCCCCCCCCTCCCATCTCCCCTCATGCGGCATCTTCAAGACATTTCCTCTTCCCTAGATATACTTTCTTCATCCCGGTAACAAGCTTCCCCATAGTCACTATCTTCTTCCTGATAACAAGCTTCCCTATAGTCACTATCTTCATCCTGATAACAAGCTTCCCCATAGTCACTATCTTCTTCCTGATAACAAGCTTCCCTATAGTCACTATCTACATCCTGATAACAAGCTTCCCTATAGTCACTATCTTCATTCTGATAACCAGCTTCCCTACAGTCACTATCTTCATCACTGTAGCCGGAATTAATTATATGTATCATTTTCCATTATATGATGAAAATGCTGAATAAGCTGTAGGCTGGAAGTGAAGAATGATTCTGGATGATGGGTTGGAAGAATGGGTGAAGAATGATGGGTTGGAAGAATGATACTGGATGATGGGTTGGAAGAATGATACTGGATGATGGGTTGGAAGAATGATACTGGATGATGGGTTGGAAGAATGATACTGGGTGATGGGTTGGAAGAATGATACTGGATGATGGGTTGGAAGAATAATACTGAATGATGGGTTGGAAGAATGGGTGAAGAATGATGGGTTGGAAGAATGATACTGGATGATGGGTTGGAAGAATGATACTGGATGATGGGTTGGAAGAATGATACTGGATGATGGGTTGGAAGAATGATACTGGATGATGGGTTGGAAGAATGATACTGGATGATGGGTTGGAAGAATGATACTGAATGATGGGTTGGAAGAATGGGTGAAGAATGTTGGGTTGGAAGAATGATACTGGATGACGGGTTGGAAGAATGATACTGAATGATGGGTTGGAAGAATGGGTGATGAATGATGGGTTGGAAGAATGGGTGAAGAATGATAGGTTGGAAGAATGATACTGGATGATGGGTTGGAAGAATGATACTGGATGATGGGTTGGAAGAATGATACTGGACGATGGGTTGGAGGAATGATACTGGATGATGGGTTGGAAGAATGATACTGGATGACGGGTTGGAAGAATGATACTGGATGACGGGTTGGAAGAATGATACTGGATGACGGGTTGGAAGAATGATACTGGATGATGGGTTGGAAGAATGATACTGGATGACGGGTTGGAAGAATGATACTGGATGACGGGTTGGAAGAATGATACTGGATGATGGGTTGGAAGAATGATACTGGATGATGGGTTGGAAGAATGATACTTGATGATGGGTTGGAAGAATTATACTGGATGACGGGTTGGAAGAATGATACTGGATGATGGGTTGGAAGAATGATACTGGATGATGGGTTGGAAGAATGATACTGGATGACGGGTTGGAAGAATGATACTGGATGACGGGTTGGAAGAATGATACTGGATGATGGGTTCCAAGAATGATACTGAATGATGGGTTGGAAGAATGATACTGGATGACGGGTTGGAAGAATGATACTGGATGACGGGTTGGAAGAATGATACTGGATGACGGGTTGGAAGAATGATACTGGATGATGGGTTCCAAGAATGATACTGAATGATGGGTTGGAAGAATGATACTGGATGATGGGTTGGAAGAATGATACTGAATGATGGGTTGGAAGAATGGGTGAAGAATGATGGGTATGAAGAATGGAAGGAGAGGCCAGTGATGACATGTTAACTGCAGTTAACTCGTTGACCAAAGCATGTATAAGCAACTATTTCCTTACTTTAAACTGTTTACCTTTTAACTGTGAAACTTTTCTGGTTTTTGTTTTTAAGTTAATGTTATGAATTAACAACAAAAGGAAAAAAAAAAAAGAGGTTCCAAATACTGTCCGATCCTCCCATTTTCTATTTTTTCTTGGGGGTGGGGGGAAGTATATTGTCTTGTTGTCATTATAGTCTAAGGACAAAATTGTCTTAAAGTGACTCCACAGCGGCTTGTGATACAGGAGCAGCCAAGGACTAATATTGGGTAATCATATCTTTCCTTTTGAGACTTCAGATGTATTTAGATACGAGCTCTGCATCTTATCTTTATGTCACCTACACATCAAACTTTAAATCATTTTTTATTCATCATTTTAATAATTTTCTTCTTAACGAAGAGAGGAGACGGTTAATTTCTTCGTGGTACAGAAAAAATGTACCATTATACGTATACTGTACCGCTTCTGTGTATTATGTACCGCTTCTGTGTATAATGTACCGCTTCTGTGTATAATGTACCACTTCTGTGTATAATGTACCGCTTCTGTGTATAATGTACCGTTTCTGTGTATAGGGTACCCAGCTGGTACCCGCGGGGGTAGTGGGTACAGGGGCGGTGATCCGGGTACCCAGCTGGTACCCGCGGTGGTAGTGGGTACAGGGGCGGTGATCCGCATACCCGCGGTAGTTATGGTAGCGGGTACAGAGGCGGCGACCCGGGTACCCGCGGTTGCCACCAGGTAGTGAGATCAGGAAAGGAGGTGATGGATGTAATCGCAGATAACCTGCTCCTTACAACGGTCTGACCCGTCCTTGAACACCCCTACCCCTTCTACCCCTTCTCCCCCTTCTCCCCCCTCACCCTCGCCCCCTCTCCCTCCACCACACACCCTCCACCACGCACCCTCTCCCCCCCTCCATCATACCCTCTTCCTCCACCACACACACACACACAAAGTGTGCGTGTGTGTCCCCACCCCCAACACACCCTTAGAAAATCTATATCTTGCCATTATTAAAAATAAAGGTTGGACGGATTCGAAATAGTATATGTAGGTTCATTAAATTAGTATGATAAATTACTCGGCCATAACTGGCCGATCTCTAACAATGTTCAAAAGAGAACTCGATAAACACCTCCAAAAGATACATGATCAACCAGGCTGTGATTCACACGTCAGGTGCGAGCAGCCGCGTCCAACAGCCTCCACCACAGTTTGGTCGGCCAGTTTGATAGCCTTACTATCAAATTCGACCGTCCAATCTTAGCAGTATTGTCAGCATACTGCCACCTGAGACCCCTCCCTAGCAGTATTGTCAGCATACTGCCACCTGAGACCCCTCCCTAGCAGTATTGTCAGCATACTGCCACCTGAGACCCCTCCCTAGCAGTATTGTCAGCATACTGCCACCTGAGACCCCTCCCTAGCAGTATTGTCAGCATACTGCCACCTGAGACCCCTCCCTAGCAGTATTGTCAGCATACTGCCACCTGAGACCCCCCCTAGCAGTATTGTCAGCATACTGCCACCTGAGACCCCTCCCTAGCAGTATTGTCAGCATACTGCCACCTGAGACCCCCCCTAGCAGTATTGTCAGCATACTGCCACCTGAGACCCCTCCCTAGCAGTATTGTCAGCATGCTGTCACCTGAGACTGCCCCCCTAGCAGTATTGTCAGCATGCTGTCACCTGAGACTGCCCCCCTAGCAGTATTGTCAGCATGCTGCCACCTGAGACTGGCCCCCCCCTAGCAGTATTGTCAGCATGCTGCCTCCTGAGACTGGCCCCCTAGCAGCATTGTTAGCATGCTGCCTCCTGAGACTGGCCCCCCCCTAGCAGTATTGTCAGCATACTTCCACTGAGACTCCCCCTAGCAGTATTGTCAGCATGCTGTCACCTGAGACTGCCCCCTAGCAGTATTGTCAGCATGCTGTCACCTGAGACTGCCCCCTAGCAGTATTGTCAGCATGCTGTCACCTGAGACTCCCCCCTAGCAGTATTGTCAGCATGCTGTCACCTGAGACTGCCCCCTAGCAGTATTGTCAGCATGCTGTCACCTGAGACTGCCCCCTAGCAGTATTGTCAGCATGCTGTCACCTGAGACTCCCCCCTAGCAGTATTGTCAGCATGCTGTCACCTGAGACTGCCCCCTAGCAGTATTGTCAGCATGCTGTCACCTGAGACTCCCCCCTAGCAGTATTGTCAGCATGCTGTCACCTGAGACTGCCCCCTAGCAGTATTGTCAGCATGCTGTCACCTGAGACTGCCCCCTAGCAGTATTGTCAGCATGCTGTCACCTGAGACTCCCCCCTAGCAGTATTGTCAGCATGCTGTCACCTGAGACTGCCCCCTAGCAGTATTGTCAGCATGCTGTCACCTGAGACTGCCCCCTAGCAGTATTGTCAGCATGCTGTCACCTGAGACTCCCCCCTAGCAGTATTGTCAGCATGCTGTCACCTGAGACTGCCCCCTAGCAGTATTGTCAGCATGCTGTCACCTGAGACTGCCCCCTAGCAGTATTAATACCTGGTTGATACCTGGTTGATGGGGTTCTGGCAGTTCTTCTACTCCCCAAGCCCGGCCCGAGGCCAGGCTTGACTTGTGAGAGTTTGGTCCACCAGGCTGTTGCTTGGAGCGGCCCGCAGGCCCACATACCCACCACAGCCCGGTTGGTCCGGCACTCCTTGGAGGAATAAATCTAGTTTCCTCTTGAAAATGTCCACGGTTGTTCCGGCAATATTTCTTATGCTTGCTGGGAGGACGTTGAACAACCGCGGACCTCTGATGTTTATACAGTGTTCTCTGATTGTGCCTATGGCACCTCTGCTCTTCACTGGTTCTATTCTACATTTTCTTCCATATCGTTCACTCCAGTACGTTGTTATTTTACTGTGTAGATTTGGTACTTGGCCCTCCAGTATCTTCCAGGTGTATATTATCACCACAGTATTGTCAGCATACGTCCACCTGAGACTCCCCCTCTAGCAATATTGTCAGCATACTTCCACACGAGACTCCCCCCCCCCTAGCAGTATTCTCAGAATGCTACCCCCCCCCCCCCCCCCATCACAAGACACCAGCCAAACTCACCTGAGAGCACGCCACCTGCATCAGGAGCTGGGAAAGAGACCACGTCATTCACACTCCAGAAGCTAACGCATCATTTACGCTATAATATGTGAAGGTAAGAGCCGAAAACGAAGGTAGAAATAAGGTATATCTATATAATGCTTTATAATATTACTCTAGCCTTTTATGATGTACTGTAATTTTATTACCTCAATCAACTTAAACTTGAAGTCCCACTTGTAAACTGGGGCCTTGGCTATTAGAGTTTCACCAGACAGTAGTAATCAAGCCTTCGGATACTGATACATTAAAGTTCTTCCAATCTTTATTAATTTGTAATTATTTCGTATTTGAATAAGTTTTTAAATTTAAGTTTTAACGTTAGGTAATTTCTTTTATTGACAGCCATAAGGGAATTGCGCCGTGTTGGTTTAAATTGATTGAACTGGGTTAAACCTTCATTTGGTTATATTGAAGACAGTATTACCATTAGCGTATCAGTTTTATATTTTACCTTTACGTTCCACTAGGTGCTGGCTTGTTAGCATCGTGGAACGGGGAACTGACGTATGTGTACAGTTTTCTTATAAAAAGGGGTAATATTATCATAATTCTTACTGCATTATGAACTTTGGTATAATATTTATGTTTATGATTTAATATTACATTTTACTCATTGTTGTAATTTCCATATTTTAGATTGGAAGGCGAGGCGAATGATTCCGTGATTAAATCATCATAGTTATTAATAAGATAGTTATAAAAATGGTATATAATTAGTCCATTTTGACCATAAGTAGACGGGATTATTCTTTTCTTGCCCTCCACCACACACACACCTTCTCCCCCAACACAGTCTCTCCCCCAACACAGTCTCTCCCCCAACACAGTCTCTCCCCCAACACAGTCTCTCCCCCAACACAGTCTCTCCCCCAACACAGTCTCTCCCCAACACAGTCTCTCCCCCAACACAGTCTCTCCCCCAACACAGTCTCTCCCCCAACACAGTCTCTCCCCCAACACAGTCTCTCCCCCAACACAGTCTCTCCCCCAACACAGTCTCTCCCCCAACACAGTCTCTCCCCCAACACAGTCTCTCCCCCAACACAGTCTCTCCCCCAACACAGTCTCTCCCCCAACACAGTCTCTCCCCCAACACAGTCTCTCCCCCAACACAGTCTCTCCCCAACACAGTCTCTCCCACAACACAGTCTCTCCCCCAACACAGTCTCTCCCCCAACACAGTCTCTCCCCCAACACAGTCTCTCCCCCAACAGAGTCTCTCCCCCAACACAGTCTCTCCCCCAACACAGTCTCTCCCACAACACAGTCTCTCCCACAACACAGTCTCTCCCCCAACACAGTCTCTCCCCCAACACAGTCTCTCCCCCAACACAGTCTCTCCCCAACACAATCTCTTCCCCAACACAGTCTCTCCCACAACACAGTCTCTCCCACAACACAGTCTCTCCCCCAACACAGTCTCTCCCCCAACACAGTCTCTCCCACAACACAGTCTCTCCCACAACACAGTCTCTCCCCCAACACAGTCTCTCCCCCAACACAGTCTCTCCCCAACACAATCTCTTCCCCAACACAGTCTCTCCCACAACACAGTCTCTCCCACAACACAGTCTCTCCCCCAACACAGTCTCTCCCCCAACACAGTCTCTCCCACAACACAGTCTCTCCCACAACACAGTCTCTCCCCAACACAATCTCTTCCCCAACACAGTCTCTCCCACAACACAGTCTCTCCCCCAACACAGTCTCTCCCCCAACACAGTCTCTCCCCCAACACAGTCTCTCCCACAACACAGTCTCTCCCACAACACAGTCTCTCCCCCAACACAGTCTCTCCCCCAACACAGTCTCTCCCCCAACACAGTCTC